CAGCTCAGACAGGCCCGGACAGTGAAGGAGGAGGAAGGAGGGCCTTGGCAGCAATGGACACTGTCCCCACCGCCATCTCCAGCACCAGCCCGAGGGGCCCCGAGAGGAAGGGCTATGGGGTAAAGCCTTCTACCGAGAGGAAAGGCTGAGGGGCAGGACCTTTTACAGAAAAGCGGAGAGGGAACCTCCCATAGGGGGAGCGGCACCTCGTCCATTCTCAGGCCTGTGAGGTGCCATGGCAACCCTGAAGGCCAGGGAGCTGCCTCGGAAGGTGATATCAGCAAAGATCGCAGACACACAGCCCAGGAGCAACCTCACCATGGATCTTGCATGATGCTTTCTAGGATTGGCACTAGCCGAGGTAGACACTTGGCTACAACAAGGTCAGACAGCTCTTGCACAAATGGCTCTGAGGAGGAAGAAAAGAATGATGAAATGGATGAGATTATTGCTGTCTTAAACAGGTGGAGGAGGGGAAAGATAGCAAGAAAAGCCCTCAGAGAACGTAGCCCAATTGCCCACCACACTAGATCAAAAAGGGAGAAAGAAAGAGAATCAATTTTGCAAGCCCCCTTACAACAAGCAGTCAGTAATCAGGGGCCAATATACGTGAAAGCTCCATACTCCCTTATAGAGTTAGAACAGTGGAAAACTACCATGGCAAAATTAACAGGCTATTAACTCACAAAACCCTGATTGGGCGAATTTGAACTCTATGTTGGATACATTACTCGACCCCACTGAGAGACAAATGGTCAATAAAGCCATCACAACCTCAGTGGAGGGGAGCATAGCCAGTGGATTGCTTCAGGGTACTGTCACCCAGATATTTCCCCTTGAGAATCCTGGGTGGGATCCAAATATACCAGAACATATGGCAAGGCTAAAATGATATCAAAGTCTTGTGGTATATGGGTTAAAACATGGAGCACCTAAAGCTATAAATTGGTCAAAGCTTTCTGAAGTAAGACAAAATGATGATGAATCACCATCTGATTTTTTGAACAGGTGAAGAGAAACTGCCATCAAATATACTGATCTAGACCCTGAATCAGCTGATGGTAAAGCACATCTGGTTTTGTTGTTTATGGGTCAGGCTTCAAATGATATAAGAAGGAAGCTGCAAAAGAGAGAGGGGGTCCGAGATATGGAGAGGCTGCTAGAGGTTGCCTGGAAAGTGTTTCGAGATAGAGGTTCAACTGAAAGAGTTAAATCCGTTAAATCCCAGCCCAGTAAGAAGGCAACTCAGGAAAAGTCACCCCAAAAAACTTCCCCTACGGAGAAGGACCAGTGTGCACACTGTAGAAAGGGGAGATATTGGAAAAAAAAGACTGTCCAGTGTTAAAAGAAAAATCCTTAGTTCCCCAACTCCCAGTAATTGGGAAGGGACTTGCTAGACAAATTGGAAGCTTACAACCAGACTGTGTTTAGCGACTTCAAATATGTGTGTTTGCAATGTAGCTACAATTAGAGACTCTGGTTTTATGTATAATCCACCTGTGTTTACTAGCCAGCTGTTAATAAGAAACTATTCCTTGTATTGTAGTATAACCCCAACCCGCATTGGCATGGATTAATCACTTGTAAAAGAAATGTTAGAGCATGCAAATTCGCAGCAGCTGCCAGAAAATGCCAAGGCCAAAGCTAAAAGGATCCTAGTAACAGTTCACCATGATGGCAAAGGTATAAAACAGGGAATGGAACGAATTAAGAAGGCAGGAGAACACCACTGGTGGGACGATTTGTTGCTGGTCCCCCATGGCCAGTGGCATTTTCAACTCATTGCTGCACCCCATTGTAGTTCCACTGTTAATGCAAATCTGTGTGCTTTGGTAGCCACTAGTTACTGGATGAGGCAGGTGAAACTCTGCTTTGATAACCAGGTGAAAGGAGCAGGGCTGGCCAAGACCCTCATGAAATAATCAAGGGCAAGGCTGGGTTGGCCTCTGTGTTTGCCACCAAGATCTTATGGCTCCACTGTTGGCTGCAACCCAGCAGGCGTTGAGCAGTGGGGACACACGCCATGCCAGACACTAACAAAAGGGATGGCTTCTCTGCTACCAAAGGGCCATCCAAAAGGGCAGGAAAGGCCAGGCAGCCTGCAAACAGCATGAGCCACAGAATGGTTGAGGTTGGAAGGGACCTCTTGAGAGGTTTGACTTAGTCTGAGCCCACCTAGAGCAGATTGCCTGGGACTGCATTCAGCTGGGCTTTGACCATCTCCACAGATGGAGACTCCACAACCTCTCTGGGCAAATCTGTTTCACTGTTTGATCACCCTCACAGTAAAGAAGCAAAAGTTAGCATACAACCCAGACAGAGGGATAACATTAGTCCCTATGAAATATTGTATGGCAGACCCTGTCAAATCCCAAATATCCCAGGTGAAATTCACATGAAGGGGAAACATGATTTACAGTGTTATTTAATGGCTTTAAGTTCTTCAGACAATTCCTTCAAACTTCAGGCCCTAAGCATAAACAACGTGGAAACTGAACATGCTAGAGCAGCTTTTAAACAGCTGAAACACTCTCTAATGTCAGCTCCAGCACTGGGACTGCCAGACCTAACTAAACCTTTTGAACTTTCTACATATAAGAGACTGAATATGGCTTTGGGGGGGGCACTAGCACAGCGTCTTGGGAACCAGTGGAGAGCTGTGGCCTACTTTTCCAAACAGCTAGACAGTGTTGCCCACGGCTGGCCAGGGTGCCTGAAGGCCATGGCAGCCACTGTCATCTTGATCCAGGAGGCCCAAAATCTCCCCCTTGGGTGACACATTGTAGTGTACGTGCCCCATGCCACAGCAGCTGTACTCGAACAGAAGTCTGGCAACCAGATTCTGAAATACCAACCACTGTTATTAGAGCAGGATGATGTTGCCCTGAAAACAACTTCTGTTTTTAACCCTGCCAAGTTTCTGCCCTCCATCTTAACTGACAATGAGCCAGAGCATGACTGCTTGCAGACAAATAAGAGATCTATTCCAGCCAACCAGATCTGAAAGATGTGCCCATGGAGAATCCAGATTGGGAGCTTTGTACAGATGGAAGCAGCTTCATGAAAAATGGCAAAAGGATGACAGGCTATGCAGTGACCACACAGGACAAGCTGATCGAGGCAAAGGCCCTGCCAGCAGATGTGTCATCACAGAAGGCTGAACTGATTGCACTGACAAGAGCCCTAGACCTGAGTGAAGGAAAGAAGGCAAATATGGACTGACTCAAAATATGCATTCAGTATTGTCCACACCCATGGAGCCATCTAGAAGGAAAGAGGACTCTTGAATGCTCAAGGTAATCAAATCAAGCATGCTGAACAAATACTTGCCTTCTGAGAGAGCATTAAAAAACCTGCAGAAGTAGCTATCATGCACCAAAAGGGAAAAACCACTCCAGAAATGGGCAACTGCTTTGCTGATAAAGCAGCAAGAAGGATTGCAGAAAAAGGTATTCTCGCAGTAATTCCACAAAAAGATTTGTCGGGGTACACCCCAAAATATGGCCAAGCAGACCACAAGCTAATTAAGTTTTTTAAAGCTGAGAACACAGAAAGTGGATGGGCTGTTACACTGGCAAAGCAGGTGGTAGTCCCATCCCTGCCCCTTCGGGAGCTAGTTCAAAGAGAACATGAAACCACATGTTTTGGGGGTGAAAACCTTTTTAAACATCTAAAACAGGTAGTAATAGGAATGGGAATGACTGATATTATACAATCAGTAGTGAGTAAATGTAAAACCTGCTGTAAAAGCAACCCTGACACGAGAAAGAGTTGTGTTAGGAGTAACAAAAGCAGGGAATCTTCCTGGACGTTACTGGCAAAGACATTTTGCAGTTACCACGCAAAGAAGGATACTGGTACCTACTGGTATTAGCTGACACCTTCAGTGGATGGCCAGAAGCTTACCCCTGTCACATTAACACAGCCAAGGAAGGCGTGAAAGTCTTGCTCAATCATATAATTCCGAGGTTCGGGGTTCCCTTGAGAATGTCATCAGACAGGGGACCACACTTTGCAGCTACAGTGGTTGAAGAAGTTAGCTGGATTTTGGGAATTGCTTGGGATCTGCACACACCTCACAGACCCCAAGCGAGTGGTAAAGCTGAACGCATGAATGGGACTCTCAAAACACAAGTTAGTCAAATTTGCCAGGAAACATCCATGACATGGATTCAGGCCTTGCCTAAAGCTTTACTGGGAATTTGCACACAACCCAGACAGAGGGATAGCATCAGTCCCTATGAAATACTGTATGGCAGCCATATCAGATTCCACATGTTCCAGGTGAAATTCACATGAAGGGGAAACATGATTTGCAGAGTTATTTAATGGCTTTGAGTTCCACTTTGCAGAAGCTCCAGAGTTACATCGTGTTATCCAGACCCACAGGACTGGACACACCAGCACATCCATTCCAGCCTGGAGACTGGGTCTATGTGAAGTGGTGGGACAGTGATCCTCTGCAAGCCAAGTGGAAAGAACAATTTAAAGTCCTGCTGACCACCTTCACTGCAGTCTAAATTGCTGGCAGAGGACCCTGGATTCACTACTCCAGAATTAAGAAAGCTTCTTTTCCTAAAACAACTGTAACAACGAATATTGATGGAAATTATATTTTAAATGGTTCCTCTTCTGTCTAATTGCTATTCTTCTATATATGATACTTGATAGTATAAGATATTATTCTTGTTACTTTATGTTTTTCATTAAGTATGCATTTACTATTAGATATTTAGCTAGATATTTATTATTGTTAGACACTTATCTGTTATTAAATACTTATTGCCAATAAATATTTAGAATAGACACTCGACAAAGTAGAGGCCTTGTCAAGCCTCCAAAGGGAGGAAATTGATGCCTTAAGTTTTAAGTTTTTCTGTTCTACTTTGGTGTGCAGCTTTTAGTTTTATATTAAGGGTTACAAGGAACTTTTCACAGGGTGGTGAAGACAAAACAATCCTATTCCAGCTGGGGACTCAAGGACAATCTCTTCAAACTTCAGGCCCTAAGCATAAACAATGTGAAAAGAGGAGGGCAGGAAAGCAAGCAAGCAAGGAGGATGAAACTTCATGATTTGAGGCTATTTTAATTGGACAGTTGATTCCTGTATGCAAATGGACTAAAACCTATAAAAATGTGAGATCTTGTGACCAAGCTCTTTTACTTCCACCTTGGAGCCATCCGGGCAGGGCCACGACTGTGGCACTGGCACTGCCAGGGTGTGACCTTTGAAGGCCCCTCAATAAATACCCATTTTATTCCTCTTAACTTTGTCTGGCCTCTGCGTTCTAGGCGTCACAGCCAGGTGTCTTCCCAACCAGGATCACCGGGAACGTGGGACACCAGGGCCCTCCCCAGCGTGGGTCCTCTGGTGAGGGATGGAGCTGGAGCAGAAGATGAAGCTCTCCCTGAAGTTGGGGCACTTGCAG